TAACTTCTGTCCTTCAATGACTCATAAAATCTAATTCTATTTAAAAAAAAAAAAGAGGTGCATATGTTCAATTGAAAAGAAAACAGTTAAAATAGATGTTTTGCTGAAGAAACGTAACTGCCTGTGCCTACTGGCAGTTGGGAAATTGCATGAATGTGCCTGGTTGACATTGTCCCTGAGAAAAAAAACTGCAGAAAAATTGCAGGGAACAACATTTTGTGTGTGTGTGCCTGTACAGCAGAGTGCCCCCAGCCCAACTCTGATAATGGAAGCAACCTCCATTTAATGGTTATTATATGTTATCCACGGTGTCTTTGAGTCCTCACTTATTATGCTCACTTTAAAGATGATGAAACCAATATTTGCAACCGTTTAGTGGCTTTTTAAAGGTCTTGCAGCCGGTAATCATGGACCAGCTTCATCTAACTAAGAGCACTTATTTACCCTGTGTGCTTCCAAGGCCTCTTGCCTAAGCCTATTTGGCTAAAATCAGGTAATCAACAATTCTCTAAAAATTCAACTCCCTTCTGAAGTCTCTTGTACATACTCAGGTATTAACTTTGCCAGCTTCTGGCACATTAAAAATTTTTTTTTCTTAAGTGCTTTATTATAGAGTCAGGTGCGGTGGCACACACCTGTCATCCCAGCAGCTCGGGAGGCTGAGGCAGGAGGATCTCTAGTTCACAGCCAGCCTCAGCAATGGTGAGGCAATAAGCAACTCAGTGAGACCCTGTCTCTAAATAAAATACAAAATAGGGCTGGGGATGGGGAGTGAGTTCAATCCCCAGTACAAAAAAAAAAATGCTTTATTATAGAAACTTTTGAAATAATTTAAATTCAAAGAGAAAACAATCACCCACAAACCCCTCTCTAAATCAAATCAATATTTTGGTTTACACAGGCTCCCTTCTGGTTCTTTCCCATGTGCATATTCAATCTGAACACATTTGGAATAATATATTAAATAGCGGGCAATCGACTCCATTTTTTCTATTAATACTCTCCCATGTCCATTTTGGAAAGACCTTTCTCAATCCCACATAAGGACATTTCTGACGTAACACTGTTCTTCTAAGCAACTTTTTAAATCACTCAATTCACATCATTTTAAGAATGGCAAAAAAAAAAAAACCACAAAAAACCCACTTCGTGCATTGCTGGATGTCTCGCTTTTATCTATTTTAATCTTCAGAATTCTAAGTCTCCGGCGAAAATTAAAAAAAAAAAAAAAACATATCAAACTTGCAGCATGTCTACTAGATTTGTCATTCTCTTAGAGATGGCTGATTCATATAGGAATTCTGGGTCACAGAATACAAAATGACAATCGCTCTGGCTACACCGGCCTTGGTTCATGCTCTTCAAACGCACAGGGCATGCTCCTGCCTCGGGCCTTCACACTCACGCCTCCTGCTGCTGGGACTGTTCTGCCCCCAGAGAGCCCCCCCGTGCCTTGCTGTGGTCTCTGCTCAAATGTCATCTCTATCAGCGAGGCCTTCCTTGATGATCCTATCAAAAATAGCATCTGGCCGGCCCAGCCCAGCCACCGCTGTCCCCTTGACTTCGTGTTGCTGTGGTGGTTTCTCTGTCTCCCCCACTAGAAGGTAAATTCCAAGGGAACAGGGACTTTATCTCTGTTGTCCCCTGTCGTGCCCCTGATGGTGATACAGCTGGGGCCTGACATATTTAGTTCAACAGATAAACAGGTGTTGAAACCATCAATCAGCATCAGCTCTCCACAGGTGGGCCACGGAGCCACGTTCGTGGGCCTTCCTGCTTCCTGGGAGCCACAGGAACAACGGTTTGCCTCACGTGTATGCAGCAACCCCCCCCCCCCCCCAGCTCAAAATCACTCCCAGGGAGAAAACTCTCACCTGATTCTTGCAATGTCCCAGTAGGATGTGGGAGCAGGGAGTGACAGCTTCCTAAGGGCCATTAGGAAGCTGGCTCGAGTTCTGGGCTCCCACTTACCAACACTAAAAGCTGAGCCGCTTTCTCTTTCGGAGGTTGGTTCTCCTTTGGACAGAAATGTGGACGGTCACTCAGAAGGTCCTTGCAAAGATTAGATGTGATCGTGAAAGTGGAAATATTTGTGAGACAGCAGACGGCAGATACCTCACAGGAAGGACGGCAGAGGCTTCCGGGATTGGGGTTCTGGAGTCTTGCTGCACCACTGACCGACTGTTGGATAGTGCCTAAGTGACTTAATTTCTCTGACTGTCAGCATTCCTATCTGTGAGTCGGGGTTAGTAAGGGGACCTCTCCAACAGAGACGCTGGGAGAGAGAAATGTGATCCTACAGAGAGGTTTAGCACGGCGTGCGACACACACTGGAGAGCACATCATCGCTGTTTGCTGCTGCTTTGGGTCTGGTTTGTAGCACTGTCACTATTAAGCATTGTCACTTGGCGGTGACGCAACCTGCTATGCTCACCAAAGCGTGGGTGCTGAGTACAATGGGTTGGTGAGCCAGGGCTGGGCACCCCTGAGCCTTTTATATGCAAAACTGGATCCTAGTTAATCCCTTCCACTTCAAGATTCCCAGGTGGCTGGAAGGAAGCATTTTTTTTTTAAGACCTACACATGATAGATGCTCAACACGGAAAGGCAGTTCTACTTCAGAGATGGGAAAATCAAGGTGCAGAGGCGCAGTGGGACTTCACTGAGCAGGTGAGAGGCAAGCAAGGCTCGGTTAGAGCTCAGGGTGGGGCCCGGAGGCAAGCAGTCTGTTGGGGAAGCCACCCCAGGTGTGTCAGCTACAGTAGGAGCCAGGTGACCTACACTTACGCGACTTCATCGTGTGACAGTTTAGAGCAAGGCCCCTTAGGCCAGACTGCCTGGGTTCAAATCGCGGACATGAACTACTTACTACCTGAGTGACCTCAGGACCTTGTTCTATGAAATGCAGATGATAATAGAATCCATCTGAGAGTTGACGTGTGGCTCAGCCCTGTGCCTCACATATAGAGTAGGCACTATTATAAGTCCTTGAAAATGAATGTAATGTATGCAAAATTAAAATACATGTGCTTAGCCAAAAAAAAAAAGTGAGAAAAAATAATTTAATTCGGGGTATTTCACTCAGTGAGCATATGTGCAGAATTCAGGTGAGGTGGACATGGAGAGGGTACCCGTCCTTCCCTCAGCCAGGATCCCTCAGCCCCTGGGGCTTCTTGCTATTGGCAATTAGTAACATTCCTTGAGAAGGAGACTGGGCCCACACAATTCCCATGAAAACCCAGGCCTACCTCATCAACGCCAAAAAGTAGCACCAGGTTCAAAGAAAGACCTTCAGGACACTCTCTGTGACCGTTTTCCAAATAGTTACAAAGGAAGAGGCTATGCTTGAGTGGATATTAGTCACAAATGACTGATTCCTTCCCCTCTTGACCCAGCCAACGGAAATCAAAAGCTGCATCTCCAAGTACTCTTGGCCTCTCCTTTGAGAAGTTCTCCCTCCTACCCCATTTACCAGGTCGGGACTGTCCGTCATCTGCTGATTGATGTCCAAGTCAATTTGGGGACCACCCACGGAAAAGAGACGGAGCAGGGAGAGAGTCCGGAGGTTTCCATCCTAGGGGCTCAAGTCCTGCTGATTACCACCTGAACATCTTCAGGCCTTCTTTCTCCAAGGTAAAGCTGGGGATGTGGACTAGAGTCAGGTGACCTCTTCCTCCCTTGGTATTTGACAAGACATTTACTGAAGGTTTTTGCTTACAGGGACTCCCCCCTCTCTTTTACTCAAAAAATTGATTTTAGAAGCAAACTTTCGTTCCCCCTTGCAGCACAATAGTGAACCAGTTCCTGATCTTGAAAACTGTTCAACAAAGGGAAAGGATTACGAAGGAGCCCTTCCTGTGTGAACAGGGCCTCCCGGGAATCAGCGAGGGGGAGCCTCTCTTTATAAAAAGCATTCCAATTAGTCAATGAAGAAGAAAGGGTAGAATCAGGGGATCACCGTCCTGCAGACCTGATGAATGAATGGACCTGGGTACTGAGGGCCAACGGCTGGCCGCCGAGTCACTAGTCCCAGCTGCCTCTCTGCAGGAAACTCAAAGCACAGACCAAGCAGGCAAAGGTGTTTCAAGACGACGCTGTCAGCAAAACCCAGATGGTGAAATGCTACCTCTGAAACAGCAGGACCTTCCGCAGATCAAAGAATAGAAGGGATTGGGGGGAATCACTAGGTGAGAGATTTAAATTAGATGCACGATGCAAAAGCATCCCATCTCACAGGGCGCGAGGGCTCTGAAATCAGCAGAGGAGGAGAATAGGAGAGAGTCAGAATTCATCTTGAAGGACCCTTGGAGCATCTTTGGGTCACAGGCCACTGGCCTTGAGAAGCCGTGGCTGTAAGGATGAACTTCATGCTTCTTTGCACCGGGCTCTGGGCGCTTCTTTCTTGGGCACCGAGACAGGGTGAGGATCTGCTTAAAAGGATCTCTCTCGCTCCTGAAGGTGGGGTTGGAATTGCAGGGCCTGGCGGGGACTGTGGGGATGTCTCCTTGACTCGGCAGCCATGGTTGTGATCTCGGTGGCCTGTGCCTGGGACACGGTGTCCAGTCTCCATTGTCCTCTCTGCTTTGTGGTCTCAGGCAAGCCCCCGCCCACCCTCATGCAACGGTCCCAGGCAACCCTCTGAGATGCTCTTGTGCGTGTATCCAAAGGGTCTGGAGGGCCCAACGCAACATCTAGAGGTATGTTGTGGACCTTGTCCCCTGTCCTCAAGTCACCCCTTGCTGTTAGGAAAAGGCCCTGCTCTGTTGATTATAAAACCAATTGCCTGTGTGCCTTTACCTGACCTGGACAGCGTCTGGCTGGGGGGGGGGGGCGGCGTGCTGCTTCCCAGTGACCACGGCAGGGATCCGCAGCCGACTCCCCTGGCCCCACAGCTGCAGGCTTCTAGAATGTGAAGGACCCAGCTGTGGCATTTAGGGGGGAGGGGCCAAAGCCTTGGGGAGGTCCTGGGGGAGGCTGCCCAGGGCCACAGGACAAGTTACCATGGTCTGGAAGCAGGAGTGGAGCTGGGTCAGGAAGGGCGGCTTCCCGGGCAGGGCCAGCACCCGCTTCTCCACCATGGTGCACTCCACGTCGTCGTCTTGGATCACCACGTCCTTCTTGAGGATCTTCACGGCGTACAGCTCGTCCGTGCCCTTCCGCTCTGAAAGCATGACCTGCGGAGAGAGCCAGCACATCGGGGCGGTGAGAAAGGGGACCCCACGACACCTGGGGGTGGCTGGCGTCCGTCCAGATCCACTCCCAGGTTTACCCGGGGGCTCTCTGTGGACGAGAGACGGTGGGTGACCCTTCCCACCAACCTCAATGGCTGGACCAAACCAATAAGGATGGTTCCAGGAGCCATGAGCAAGTGTTGGTTCCTCTGAGATCTGTATCAGTCAGTGACCAGCCAACAGGAATAGAGGAAGAGCCCACAGCGGTACCTGGCACATAGTAGATGTTCAATAAATACTTACTGAATGAGAGAATGAGTAAGTGCCTGATGAAACTGACTTCGGGACACCTGTCCCCTTTTTTATCCGATTGCACCACATTCTTTAAGAGCCTGCTAAGCGCTGGGGAGGTAGCAAGAAAGAAGCCTCCATGTTCCCCGACCCTGAGCCCCAGATAGGAAGGAACACTTTGAACCATGAATCACAGGGACGATCAAGGTGATACTTTCACAGCCTTTCCTGTTGTCTTGGGGCTGCCTTCTACGCACCTGGTCACCATGAGGGCTGTGGCTCATAGGCACGATATTGTTTTCATTGGCTGTGCCCATGCCTCACGGGGACAAGGAGCACCAGGTGGCATTCTCAAGAGGCTACTTTGGAAGCTCAGGGCAGGACCGTGTTTTGGAGAGAACGAATCTGGTCTGGGAGCTTCTGGGAAGGCTTCCTACAGGAAGGAACAATCCAATCGAAGCATCTCCAACATGCCCCGTGTCAGATATTTAGAATCCCCGCCGCATCTTTGGGCATTATCAATACCCGAGACAATGACTGGCTTTCATTGGTCATTTATCATTTGCTCTGCCGAAGGCTCTAGGAAGTCGGAGCCATTATGAAGGGGTCTCATTTTACAGACTCTGAGGCATCGTTGAGCAAGTCACCTGCCGCACCACGATTCAGTTAGGCACAAGGCCAGGATTTGAACCCAGGGCTGTCTGACTGTGTTTCCTGAGTTGCAAAAAGAGCCCTCCAGGAGCTCAGGAGGTTAGGGAAAGACAGTGCTCATGCCTGAGCTGCAGGACCCCAGGACGCGACCGGGACCTGGGGCCAGAGACAGCGACTCGCAGAAGGAGACGAGAGGAAAGGGCAGCCGCTCTGCCCAGCCCGGCCACCGCGCTCTGCTGCTGTCCTGAAGGTGAAGTCAGCGCGTGTGCCCAGGAGCCTCGGTCTCAGCCTCGGTCTCAGCCTCTGTCTCCCCAGCAGCGAGAAAATGTAAACTCTGCCCTCTGATGGGCGTCGGCGGCCGGGCCTCCATTCAATCCTCAGGACAGACCCACGGGCTCTGGGGACCAGGCAGGGAGCACAGTGTCGGATTGTGATTTCCCACCTCCTCCCTTCTCTCCCTGGTACCCAAGGGCTGTTGTCACCAAAGCAGGAATAACAGGAGGAAGCCACCGTCCTGAGATGTAAAGAATCCGATGCAGATGGAGGATTTTCTGCTGCCTGATACCAAAGAAGAGGGGGCTGTCACACGGGCAGGGAGGAGGCAGGGGGGTGACTTGGCCAGAATGTGAATGAGCCCAGGGAGAGACACTGGAGATGGGGGATGAAGAGCCTTTTGTTGAGGGGACCCTGGAGGACCCTGGTGGGGGGTGAGGGGCTCGGTGCTGAGCTGACTCAGTGCAGATATCCCCCGTGACCCACCACCACCCTGAACCCCTGCTCCTCCACCAGGCTCAGAGCAGAGGGGTCCTGGGGACCGTGCAGTCACGACAGACCATCGTCACCTTCTGCATGGAAGGGAGATGGGACAGAACGGCTGAGAATGTCCCCCTGCCCCCCCGGGGACCAGGGCAGACTTTCTACTTCTGTTTCCAACATGCCCATTCTACAGGCAAACAGACCGAGTCTCCGGGAGATTTAAGCCACTTAAGCCAACATCAGAAGCTCCCCGAGGCCAAACAACGCTGGACCACGGCTTGTTCTTGGCTTTTCTTTGGACATTCTATTCCCACGGCCTGCCACACCTCTTCTATGCTCTTCCTCTGACTAGAAAAATCCGAGATTCAGCTCCGACGTTACCTCCTTCCGTAACCTTGATGATCCACAGAGACACAATCAGCCACTCCCACCCCAGGGCTCGGGATTGCTTCATGTCTGTGTGGCTGATTTTAGCACAGACTTTTTCCCAACATCAATCATTCCTGTGCTTCTTTTTTTTTTTTTTTTTAACATTTTCTCCATCCCCTAAACTATAGCTTAGCCTTTAAAAAAAAAAAAATCGGACTGTATGCTTGGCCCATCCTAGACACTTCATTCACGTTGACACAGGAGAGGAAAAATGCCGGTGACCACATCTTAAAATGTTCCTCTGAGTGGAAATCATCTTTTATTAATTGTCTCACACGGTCTTTCGAGAGCTCCCAGAAACCTGAACACCAACACAGAGGGCGTGGGCTGTCTGCTCAGCTGTCCCGCCATCTCCAGGGCCAGGATTCCAAACAGATTGGGAGGATGTGTCGAAGCGATGTTCTTATCAAATTCCCAGCCACATCTGTTCCCCAAGAGCCCGGGGGAGAGACGGGATAAATACCAGAACTCTACCGACAGCAGATAAGACAGAGGAAAAGTAGCCCAGGGGGTCCTGGCTGGAAAGTTGGGTGTGATGAACTTTGCCGGGCGAATCCCCCCACCGTGGCGAAGTGTGTGCCTGGAATTCTTTGTCCCTGACTGTGGTTGGAGTGGGGAGTGCCCCACAGTGGTTAGGGCATGGACTTGGGTGGGTGTTAGAGGTGGGTCCCGAGTTCTCCCACAGCCTCAGCGGTTGACCCTGGGGCGGTCCCCTTAACTCTTGTGAGCCTCCGTTTCCTCATCTGTAAAAATGAGGCATGGCAACAAGACGCCGCTCTGGGTGGTGCCCAGGGAGCTCTGGGGGATAGTGTGTGCAGACCGCGGCCCTGCACTCAGCCTGGCAGGATGGACCCCTCACACGGGGGGGTTCGAATCGTGTCCTAGAGTGGACCTAACAAGGAAGAAGAACCCGAGTGGCTTCACCCACTCAGAGTTCTGAAGATCAGGTCCAAAATCCAGGTGTTGGCAGAGAAGGCTGGTTCCTTCTTCTGAAGACGTTGAGGGAGACTGTGTTCCGTGGGTCCTGGCTTCCGGTGGCTGCCAGAGATCCTTGGCATTCCTTGGCTAATAGATACATCACTTCGATTTCTGCCTCTGTCTCCACATGGTATTTCCCCTCTGTGTCTGTGTCCAAATGTCGCTCTTCTTGTAAGGACACCAGCCATTGGAGTAGGGCCCACTCTGATCCAGTATGACCTCATCCTAATTACATCTGCAAAGACCTTTTGTCCAAGGAAGGTCACATTCATAGAGATCAATGGTTAGGACTTGAACATGCATTTTATTTTTGGAGGGGGGGGGTCACAATTCTACTCCACCCACAGTGATCAACCTCAGTATCATTTTTTCAGAGAAGGAGCAAGAGGTGACCCTTTGAACAAAGCACAAATGTCCAGTTTTCAACTGGCTCAGGACTTTTGTCCTAAGGGAACTGGGGGGTCCATATTTGCTCACTAAAATAACAAGGCAGAGACTATGAAAGGCAAACACTCTGCTCCCCACATCACCCCAACATTCACAGACACTCGCCCCAAAGTCCCAGGTCCTGCTGAGTTACTCTCAATGCCTCTCTTACACTTCTCTGCTAATGCATCGGGTGTTACTAGCTCTATATTCGAAATACATATATGCCCAATCCAAACTCCCAGCTAATCAGAGCCACCAGCATCCTCAGCCTGGTTTCCTGCAACTGCCTCTAATTGCTTCTCTGCAGCCACTGTTCTCGCTCCCCGCCTGCGTGATCATTCTACTCTGTGCACAGAGTAGGAAGGATGCTGCTTTCAAAACTAATGATTTTACTTCTTGCACTTTAGGAGTCTTGTCGAGGAAGTTTGTCTCTAAGCTGACATGATGGAGATTTGGGCTTACATTTTCTTCTAGTAGGTGCAGGGTCTCTGATCTAATGCCTAGGTCCTTGATCCACTTTGAGTTGAGTTTTGGGCAGGGGGAGGGGCGGGGTGTTCAATTTCATTCTGCTACATATGCATTTCTAGTTTTCCCAGCACCATCTGTTGAAGAGGCTATCTTTCCTCCAATGTAATCAAGAATCAATAAATGGGATGATATCAAACTAAAAAGCTTCTTCCCAGCAAAGGAAACAATCAAGAGTGTGAAGAGAGAGCCTTCAGAATGGGAGAAAATCGTTGCCACCTGCATCTCAGATAAGGCATGAATCTCTAGGATATAAAAAGAACTCAAGAAACTTAACACCACAAAAAAACCAAATAACCCAATCAATGTGTGGGCCAAGGAACTGAACAGACACTTCACGGAAGAAGAAATACGAATGGTCAACAAATATATGAAAAAGTGTTCAACATCTCTAGCAACTTGAGAAATGCAAACTAAAACTACTCTAAGATTTCATCTCACTCCAATCAAGAAGGGCACTTATCAAGAATACAAGTAACAATAAATGTCGGTGAGGATGTCGGGGAAAGGTTCACTCACACAATGCTGGTGGGATTGCGAATTGGTACAACAACTCTGGAAAGTAGGATGGAGATTCCCCAGTAAACTTGGAATGGAACCACCATTTGACCCAGCTATCCCACTCCTTGGCATATACCCAGAGGATTTAAAAATCAGCATACCACCCTGATACAGCCACATCGATGTTTATAGCAGCTCAATTCACAATAGCTAAACTACGGAACCAAACTAGGTGCCCTTCTGCAGATAAATGGAGAGAGAAAATGGAATGGAATATTACTCAGCCATAAAAAATGACTTTATGAACTTTGCCAGTAAATGGATGGAACTGGAGACTACCATGTGAAATCAGCCAATCCCAAAAAATCAAAGGTCAAATATTCCCCCTGATGTGGGGATGCTAACTCACAACAAGAGGGAAAGGAAGAATAGAAGGTCAGTGG